GTTACTTAACCTCTCTAGCCTCAGTTTCCTATCTGTAAAATGGAAATACAAATAAGCTAATTTATATGGTGGCTGTGAGGATTAAATATGCAAAACTGCACAGTACATTATACACAATAAAAGGTAACTAAGTATTTTTAAATATGGACAAATGACAGCAAAATCCTGAAATGTAGTATACGATGGAAAAGTGAAGCTCAGTACCTTTAGACCCCCTTCACACTCACGCATCACTGCTCACTGGGAACCACCACTGTGGGTGTAAGTAAATGCCTCATCCATTCGAAGAAATGGCAATGAAGTCGAGTATCTACCCACGAGGTTTTCCAGGCTGAACTGAAAACCAAATCTCTCACAAATGTAAATTATTTATGTCTGAGATTACAGGTAAACTCACTTCACAAGGAGTGCTTGAGAAGTAAGATATTAGGTGTGCTGTGGGAGATTTGAAGGGAGGAGAGGGTTAAATCCCTTAACATAGAAATGTGGTCCTCTCTCACACTTTTTAGTTGAAAAGTAAGAGTGAGGAAACACAAGCCTTCATACAATACCGAATTAGCTACTGCTATTTAAGCTCTGAGGCAAAGTTTACCTTACATACCCCAGGTGATGATAACATGGCTACCAGTCAATTCCCCTGGCTTTTGCAACAGTCTCAAATCACAGCAAGCAGCAAACAAGAATTAAACTCTGGGTAAGGTAACGGGTGAAATAAGAACATAGTAGGTGATGTTACATGCTGACACAGCCCAAGTCAAATTGGTAGACTCCAGAAAGTAAACTCTGATAGGGAAAAGAAGAAAAATAACCTTTACTGAAGACTGCCTATGTTTGTGACCATGAAACACATTTGGTACTTTACCTCTTAATCTCATTTAGTCTGATCCTCATAAAAGCATGTTTGAAGTAGTATTATATCCTTTCTGCAAACAAGGAAATGAAAGCACAAAAATTAAGATAACCCAAATCACATGAGTATGAAACTGTAGGATCAAGGCACGAACTGAGTTCAGTTCAACTCAAGCATGGCATTTGCCTCAATCACCCCTTAAATGCTTCCAGCCTGGATGACAGAAGCTTGAAGGTGAATTTAGATCCTACCTCATCTGTGTAAGCCTCCAAAGGATAATAAAATTAAAAACAATAAAAACAACAATGTCACAAATAACTTTACAGCAGCAGCCAAAGGACTCGAAGATGTAACAGAATTAAAACATTAGTAAAATAACACCTCACCCAGAGGTTGAAACAAAAGGTCACAACTAACCTGCAGGAAATCAAGCTTTAACCAGGAAACATTTATCGTTTTTCTCTAAAACTTTCTGAAATCTATTCATAATACATTACTACTTTCTTAATAATTCAGAAATCTACACTAGGTCACAAGTCAACTCTACAAAGTAGAAGGTATATAAAAAAATAGACCAAATACACACAACACATACAGATCTATATCAAATATGATGACCATAGATAGGACTTAGCATAGAAGTTATTTTCATAAGAAATCATAAAACCCTAGTACTTTAAAACATCAGATTGGATGACAAATGACAGATAATCTATCTGACCCCATCATTTTACAACTGAATAAAAAGCTGCACAAAGAGCCTCTCTGTCCAAAAAACACAGAAACAAAATCTGGGGCAAAGAAAGTAGAGAGAATACATTGGGTTGTTGGAAAAGTCATAATGCATTTTTGCAACGAAAAACAGAGAAAAAATACATCATGATTCCGACAACTCAATAGTTAATGAGGTTTCTAGATCATCAATAACTATACCCACAAACTAAATATGCCTTTAAAATAACAATAGAGCAAGTATTGCACAAATGTGATATGAAAGCTATCGCTAAAAGCAGGGAGACAGCTGTACACAATATGCTAGACCCTCACTATCATATTCCTCAGATCTATTTCTAGATTCTACACAAGAGATTTACAGCAAATGCAAAATACATCCTGTAGGTGCATGACACTTGTCTAACTCAAAAATGACTAAAACAGAAACTCATTCTCTTTGGGGATGGTTTTACATGTAAATCCTCAATTCTTTGCTTCCCCATAACTCATCTGAGTCTTAAAATGCCAAGTCACTGTCCTCAATGTCCACTGAATAAAAGTTTTCCTTCTGGTAAATACAGGAATCCTTCTCCTATTCTGAAGTTTATTTTACTTAAATCGGTGCCGCAAATAACAATGTTTGACTATCTTGCTACTTTGTGTAAAATAACAAGCTCATCTTTTAACATTACAGATGCAACTAATATTTCAAATTATTTTAATAAGAAATTTTACTATTTAAACCATCTAAAGAAGAAAAATTAAAAATAAACCATAATATCTGCAAAAACTATGTATAAGCATTGTATCTTTATAGTTCTATCAGACACAAAAAGCTGTCAATGAAATATACAAAGACAATGCTGCCATCTAAAGGCCAAGATATAACATGAAAAAAATGTATACTCAAATACAGTACTGCCAAGGTATAAAAACAATCAATTCAATATTTTAAAGTCAGCAAAGTTTATATTTTTTAAAAAACACTATATTATGATGCTACATAGCATAAAAGACTACACAAAATAATTTGGCTAATAATTAATATCTGCACAGGTCAATTTCTGTTGGCATCCTTTCAGACACAATATTCTCCCTTTTAAGTTATCTGTATTAGTTGTTAATTTAAAATATCTGTCTATTTAATAATGCCTATATTTCCTGTTTGTATTTACATATACAGTATAAATTATATATATGTATATATAAATATTACTTGCCTTTAACCAGAACAGTATTATTTCTACTTACTCTATTTAAAATGTTTGCTATTAAATGACTAATAACACTTCTTAGAGTTAAAACAACCAAACTACCTAAAACTGTGCAAGAAATTCAAATATTCTCCTTATTTTATAAATTCCAAAAATACAAATTAATGTTCCTATGGGAGGTTAATTATCCAATATAAAGAGTTCAAATTATTCTAAATTTCCCTTCCTAAGAACCTTAAATTGAAAGATGTTTATTAACTGAACTTTAATATCTAGCAAAATAACTTCAAATTTCCAATGAAATCAAAACTTTTACTGAATAACCCTACATACAAAATTAATTCCTTTGGCATTTAAGCATAGAACACAATATTTTAATAGAACACAATATTAGGGAAAAGCTAATGTGAACATAATTAAAAACTTTAAACACATACAGTGAATTCCTTCGGGAAACCACTAAAATTTTTAATGTGTCAAGGAAAATGTTTCTCTGTGTTTACTCAACAAGAAAACAAATATTATTCACTCAACAAATATTCCAATTATGTGAGAAATACAAAAATTTTAAATTGGGATGACCATCCTTTAATTTATCTTGAGTGTAAAGTAGAAACCAACAGACAACAAATATAGTCATAATCTCATAAAAACTACTAGTTTTTCAGTAGGTTTTTATGGGCTAGAGTTTGTACTAGACAATTTAAAGACATTATGTCATTTAATCCTCAAAGCCACAATGAAAAAGACAAGTGTTAACCTCATTTGTAAATGAGGTTCAGAGAGCTCAAGTAACTTTCCCAGGGTCACAAAGCAAGTAAGTGGATGCCAGAATTCAATCAGTCTGTCTGACCCAGAGGACCTCATTACTTCCACAAGATCATCCTGCCTAAGTAGTGAGTATTGAATTTGTATTAAATGTAGTAAAGAGTAATCTGAAGCCTTTTTACTATAAAATTTTAAAGACAACTATAATTCTATGTGGTAATAAAAGCATTACCTTTTAATTCAGTGTTTCAATTTTTCTAACTGGAATCTTTTCAAAATAGTATTATCTCACTTGAAGTACTCATGCTCCTAGAGACCTTTCAAAACTTACATTAATATATGAGATGTATTTATAAAATTTCACAAAGTAACTCCAAGGGGTAACAAAAGATCTCTTTATTTGGGGGATAAAATTAAAAAGCAAATCTTCTTTGTAACTATGCTATATATTCAGGACCACCTTGCCTATTTCAAAGTACACTATTTTCCAACATTGAAAACTCTACTAGTGTCTCCCTAGTGACATTTTTTTCTGTTAACTCGTACTATGTACCTATCAATTAAAAATTAAATGGATTTGGAATGTTATTCAGCCATAAAAAAAAGAAATGAAGCTCTGATCCATGCTACAACAGAAATGGACCATGAAAACACTGTGCTAAGTGAAAGAATCCAGGCACACAAAAACCACGTATTGTGTGATTCCATTTATACGAAATGGCTATAAAAGGAAAATCCATAGAAGTAGAAAGTAGATTACCAGTTGGCAGGGGCTGAAGGAAGGGGAAAATGGGGAATGACAGCTAACGAACATAGGGTTTCTTTTTGGGGTAAGGAAAATGTTCTAGAATTAGTTGATGATGACTGCACAACTTCATGAATATACTAAAACCACAGAATTGTACACTTTAAAAGGGTGGATTTAATAACATGTGAATCACATCTCAAAAGAACATTAAATAGCTTTAAATACATTATATACATTAAGTGTGAATGACTTACACATGCATGTGCTTAAAATATAAAATCTATGTAACTACCAAGATTATTTGCCTCAATTTACTGAAATCTATTTTCACCAAGTGACAGGCTCTATTTCACAAGTACGTATATGTCTCCTGAATATTAAGAAATCCTAACTATCTAGCATTATTACTAGCTCTAGGGGAATCAGAAGAAACTATTACCACATACTTATGTGTGACAACTAAATTTAATTTATTCCAATATACCTGAGTTACTTGACTGTCATGCAAGTTATCACATATCAGCACTTACACAATTATAGGATCAATTTATAAAATCATTGTTTTGAGAAGATTCTTGCTTTTAAGTAGTACATGCCTCTAAACCACCAAAAGAAAATAAGCAGAAGAAAATTTATAAGCTAACTTATTAGGAATTCAAAAGTTAGAAACAAAATGACAAGCATGAGGATGATAACAAGTACTTACTAATTTGTTTTCCTGCATGTATATTCTTTGTAATTTCAGACAGCCCTTAGCTATGACGATCATGCCTTCATCTGAGATCTTGTAACACTGGCCGAAATGAATATCTTTGAGTTCTCTGCATTTTGAGCCCAGCTGTGAACAAAAAGATTTGGCTAAATGCTTAGAAAATACCAACGGTAACATATTTCTAGTGAAATTTCCATACAGTTTTTTGAAAATAGCCATATCAAAGTTAACTAATTGTTTATAAATTATTAATACTTTTAAAATAAAATACAAGCAATCTGTAATTTAAAACAGTATTGTGTAAGCCTTTCCTCCTAATCTACTTCCTTGCTTCAACTACCTCACACTATCTGCCCACCGAGGTGTCTAGAGTGCTTAACACTTCAAATTCATATCTTTATTTCTCTATGAGTCTTTATATCAGTTATAGTATTACACTGAGGGGGACACATGTCCAAGGAATAAAACTAAGGTCCGAGAAGTGAGACAAAGGACCAGTGAGTGAAAGGTATTTGATTCATGAGATTCTAGTTCTACTTCTGATTGCCCCCAATGAACCATTTCTCTCCTTTAGCTCATTGACTCTGTGGGGAAAAAAAAAAAAGTCTTTATATGCTATAGCTAATATTCTAGTTAGAGTACTTATTTACACACTGTAGGGCATAAGCTGAAAATCAAAGGACTAGTGATTTCCTAATTGAAATCCCAACTGCTGACCTTAAATAATTAATGACCAGGCACAATGTTCCCACTGAAAAACATTAAGTATCACAAAGAACAAGTTACATGCGTGTATTTCTTTTCCAAATCCACAGTGCAGATTAGATAATCAAAGCAAATTATAAATGAATACTGTTTTATGAGTATTACATAGGAAGAAAGTTATCTTAAGAGCTAAAATAAGAAACTTACTTTAGTAACAATCAATCTATAAAAAATTATCAAAGTTACCTTAAAAACAATAAAACCCAGTGTTGGCAAGGAATCAAAGTGTGATAATATACCACTAGTAAGAGTGTAAATTAGTAATAAAACTTTTCCTGGAGGACTGCTTAGCATAAATTTAAAAAATTATTAAAATGTGCCTGAAAAAATGCATGACTCAGCTTCTAAATATTTACTAAACAATTAACAGGGGCCAGCCGAGTGGCACGTTAGTTAAGAGTTGGCTTGGGATGCCAGCTCTGACCAGTAGGGCCCCAGTTTGGATCCCACATGAGGGCCAGTGACGCTGCGCCCTCTACAGCTAAGATGGTGAACAACAGCTCAACCTGAAGCTGGGCTGCCGTGAGTTGCCGGTGACGGTGTAGGCTGCAGTGGGGCTGGCCAGCAGCTGGCGTGTGCTTTCATGAGCTGCTATGAGTGGCCATCCAATGGCCAGCGAGTGACTGCCTCGCCCAGGAAGAGTGCAATGATAATACCACGTGGGCCAGTGAAGCGATGTCCTCCACAACTAGACTGAAGAACAAAAAGGACAGCAACTTGTCTGTTCCCCTTCCCCGATTCCCCAACGCTGTTGCCCTCCCCCAAATCCCCAATAAAATCTTTAAAAACAAAACAAAACAAAAAACCCCAATTAACAAAAAAGGGAGGATAATTGAATATGTAGTGAAGTAAGCATACTAAAATGTTAATTATACAATCTAGGTACTGGGTAGATGGGTGTTTACTGTAAAATTCTCTCAAATTTTCCATATAGATTTGACTATTTTGTTAAGTAATGTGTCCTGGTGCCAAGTGCCTTCCACTTAGTTGATACTTAATAAACATTTGTTGAATAAATGAGAAGGCTGATGAGGGTTACGTACAATAGAGGCTTCTGTGAAAAACGGACGAATACAGGAAACCATGATTATGGTCTCATATACCAATTTGTTTTTCACTAATTCAAAAGTTTTAAATCAGGTCCATGGGTAGAATTCAGAGATTCCAGAAAAGTGAATGAGAAAAAAAAGAGTACATTTTTATTCTCATACTATCCTTTAAATGAACTTTAGCCTTTCCTTCACTTATTAATATAAAGAAAACAAACAAAAAAAAGTCACAGTGTTTGGCAGTATATGTGACTTGATAAACAACGGAAATCAAAGATAATTTCATGTAACATTACTACTGTTGCAGATACCATGAAATGTCATTTTTGTTCATCAGTATTCACCATGTTCTTTATATCCACTACTAGATCTTATATTAAAAAGGCACATATATTTCTATAACAAATGTACAATGGCACATTACTTAGACCTGAGAAAGCTGATCCAAAGCCAATCATGGGGAAGGCACAGAAGCAACTTGATAATCAATACAGAACTCCCAATAGGTTCACATGTCTGGTAGCGAGGGTGAGGTTGATGCCAAAAACACTGGATTCTTGAAAGTCAGCTTTGGAAGTAGTTAACCACTGATATCACCTCCAATTACTGCTCAGCCAGACCTTGTCCACTTTCTCACAATGGCACAAGACTGGAGTTCACTGGGGAGAGTAAAACATCGGGTCTTTGGACTGGGGTACACCATTCATAGCTGACAGCAGAAGCACACTGTGAAAGTTTATACAGGGAATATGGAAGAATTCAAAGAATTAATTCTATAAAATATCCTAGGATAAAAGGCCATGGACTCCCCGACTGGAAGGGCTCACTCATATCCAGCACAAATGACAAAACAGACCCACAGCAAGGCAAATCACCATACAGTTTCAGAGTTATGAATATAAAAAAAGATTCCACAGACTTCGAGAGAGAAATAGATTATATACAAAGGATTAAGGATTTTTTTAAAAGGTATCAAACTTCTTAACAACAACACTGAAAGACAACAACCAATCAATGCCATCAAATTCTGAAGGAAATTTATTTCAAATCTAGGATTCTATACTTAGGATTCAGACTATGATTAGAATCTGTGCACTAGAACACATGAAAGCATACCAAGAGAAAGAAGACATGACATATGGGTAACAGAATATCTAACATAACAGCAAGATGAGGAAAACCTCAAGGATAATGGTGAAGGTAAGATACTAAGAAGACCACTGATGCAGGAGCACTTATATACAAGAAGTTCAACATGAAGCCTTCAAACTATCCCTGGAAAATCTGCTTTAAGAAGATAAATTTGATTAAGCACCTACATATAGATACACTAAAGCAACTGGGGAAAAGCTTTGGGTTCTATTACTGTTGAGACTATAAAAACTACACTAAAAGGGACAAAGAAACATACATTAATTCCAAAAAAAACAAAATTCTAGAGAGAAAAGAAGGTAGGTACATAATTGTAAAATACAAATACTGAATACTTATTTAACCAAAATTATAACAGAATTATTTTGGAAGAATGAGAGGAAAGCAGATAAAAAAGGATAAAAAGCAGATAAAAAAGGATAAGTGAGCTTCAACTTCCTTAGCAAGGAATCAGTATAGATGGTCTGAAATGAATAAATCAAGAAAATACAGACAGGGCCAGCCGAGTGGCGCGATGGTTAAGAACTGGCTTGGGACGCCAGAGGGCCCCGGTTCGGATCCCACATATGAGGGCCAGTGACACTGCCCTCCACAGCTAAGATGCTGAACAACAGCTCAACCTGGAGCTGGGCTGCCGTGAGTCACTGGCGACAGCGTAGACTGCAGCCTCTGTGGCAGTGGGTTGCCATGGGCTACCGTGTGTAGCCAGCAGCCAGCAGCCAGCGTGAGCGGCCAGCAGCCGCAGTGAGCAGCCGTCCAGAAGCCAGTGACTGATGTGCCTCCCCCGGGAAGAGCGCAATGAAGGTGCCAACTTGGGCCAGTGAAGCAATGTCCTCCACAACTAGACTGAAGAACAAAACGACAGCAACTTATCTGTTCCCCTTTCCCCAATTCCCCAGCACTGTTACCATCCCCACAATTCCCCAATAAAAATCTTTAAAAAAAAAAAAGAAAAGACAGACAGACATGGAGGGAAATGCTTCTCTATTACTGCTTCCTTCTTCTGGAGGAAGTCCAATTAGTCTAATTCTTGGTCTCTTTTCTGGTTAGTTTGTGTTTAATCAACTGGACCTGTTCAGCTCATGTCTATCCTTCTCCTTGGGATCAAGCTACCAAAAGGGAGCAAGCAATGTCCACATCTGCATAGGCCACTGTGCTGGTCTTCTGAGCCGGTAAGTGGGTCAGACGGCCAAGCTCCAGCACTGAGTTAACAAGCCCATTTAATTACTAAGCCGCATTCTCCAATCTAGCCTTTCTGAGCAATAAAGTTGGCACTTTTCCTCTGTCACTATTCCTTAGTCTTATTTGTCAATTTGTTCACATCCTAAAGAGTAGAAACCTCAAAACTCAGTGTACCAGCCAGAGTGGCTGAGAAATAGAATAACAGAATCTATACAAAAAGGAGTGATATTAAGGTATTTTGTAGGGTCTTAGACATCACTATGAGTGGATAGATTAGTAGAGTCTCAGATTAAGACAGGTAAATCACTGCTGCAGCCTAGGACGGAGGTTTAAGCTGATTACCTTGTGTTCTGACCTTAGCAAGTGGCTTTGATGGCTTTATCTACAAACAAGTGACTTCCCATAGACATAGGGACCACGTAAGTAGCCATTCACAGAGTAAGAACCATGTGGATGGTCCCAACAGAGAGCAGCAGCATGGGAGCCCCAGCAACTTATTAAGGACAATTGCTCATTTATAATTATAATTACTGTCATTTAGTCTCACTGCAGAAACGGATGTTCTGTTTTAGACATCATCACAGGATATAACAGGCAAAACTGCATCTGCACTAGTGCCTATCTAATCACCATTACCCCAATCATAAATGTCCTAATGCTCCGGAAAATCCAGGCACTAGAGTCAATCATTATATCCAGTGTATTTCCCAGATCTACTGATATTCAAATCTCTCCATGCTGTAACCATCTATCATCCACAGTAAAACATTCAGACGGCATCGGCCAAGCCGTATAAGAACATCCTGTTAACATGCCCTGAATTTAACACAATAAGTCCTCTATCTAAAAACAGTAGATGTAGTAATACAGCTCTTCCAAATACAGATTTCTCTATCCAGGAAGAGAGTGCCAAAATGGAGAAGTCCTGAGAAGAGCCCTGGAGTCCAGCTGAGACCCCAAACAGGTGGGACTACGGAG